CCAGGCCAGCCTAAACTATAGCAAGACCCTGTCTAAAAAAAATACAACAACAAAAGGAAAACCCAGAGATAAATCCACTTGTTTAGAGTCAACTAGTTTTAAACAAACACAACAAAAACATATACTAGAGAAATCAAAGTCTCTTCAATAAATGCAATAAATGATGCTGGAAAATTTGAAGATCCGTTATTTAAGAGAATGAAACTAGACCTTTCACCATATACAAAGATCAACTTAAGATGGATTAGACTTAAGTGTAAAACCCAAAATTATGAAACTATTAGGAAAAAACAAAAGAAAATGACTCAGGACACCGGTCTGGCCAGATTTTTTTTGCATACAATCCCCAAAACACAGAAAAGAGAAACAAAAGTCAACAAATGAGATTACATACAACAAGCTAAAGTGCTCTGACACAAGAGGGTTAATAACAGAGTGAAAAGACTACCTAAGGATGGGAGGAAATATTTGCAAACTATTTATCCATCAAGTGATTTATTTCCAGAACACATAAAGGATTCAAAAAATTCAACAGCTTAAAAGCAAATAATTTTGTTTAAAAGTGGGGGACTGAGCCTGGCATGGCAGTGCATATTTGTAATCGCAACACTCCCAGAGGCTGAGACAGAAGAACCACAAAGTGGAGCCCAGTCTTGGACAACTTAGTAAGACCTTGTCTCAAAATTTAAAACACAAATCAAAACAAAAAAATAAAGAAGGGCTGGGGATGTAGGTCAGTGTGAGGGCCTTGAGTTCAATCCCCATTACACACACACACACACACACACACACACATACACACATACACACACACACACACACAAATAAAAGGGCTGATTATCTGAATAGACATTTTCAAAAGAAGACAAACAAATAGTGAACAAGTATATTAAAAAGTCCTTGGGCCGGGGATTTAGCTCAGTGGTTCCACTGCCTGCCTTGTAAGCACAAGGACCCGAGTTCGATCCCTGCTACCAAAAAAAAAAAAAAGTCCTTACATCACCAATTATCAGGGAAGTGTAAACCAACATAATAAGAAATCAGCTCAGTCCAGTAAGAATGGTTATTATCAGAAAGAAAAGAGTTTAAATGATACCATATCTACCTGGCAAATGCAAGGACCGGAGTTTGATTTTGAAATAACAATATAGTGCAGTATCTTTTTTTTTTTTTTTTTTTTTTTT